AACGGAGAAGGAAAAATCAAGGTCATGAGTTTTTAAACAACTATTTTGCAGTTACTTATAGTAAATGTACAAATTATGGAAATTAATGGAAGAAATGCAAATAGTATAAAAAGCTAATTATAAAATAAGCTTGTCCTAACTATCCCCACATGTCTACTGTGAACTTTTGTTGCTTGGCCTGATTCATGCAGACAGAGTTTTTATTCCATTTCGTTGAGAATATTCCTGTTGATTTTAATGTACGTGAATTTTGTATTTAATGAATACGTTTGCTGTATAGCTCGTTATTTTGTAACAGGTAAAGGTTTGATTGTTGGAGTATTTTGAATTATTTGATATTTGTTGCTATTTGATGGTACCACAGATGTGTAAGCACAATAGTACTTTACAATAGTTGAGATATGACAATGGGCTGTGAATGACTCAATAAAATTTCGTACTGTATACAGAAAAACGAAGTGGTCAGGCTACGTCAGACTGATTTTGGTCTTTTTTAGATCATTTTCTACTTTCAGATAAAATACTTAAATTTTGGTGGTTGCAATAAGTACATCACTCATTTTTTGGTTTTGTGAATGTACCAGAGGATGACCACTTGTTTTAGTTGAAAGTTCAGATGGATTTATTCAAAAAGAATGTTTCACTTGGAATAAATGGATTAACAGAGAGATAATTATCATTTTAATTGGTTATTCAGTTATGCTGTGGTGTGCGCTACCGATGTCGACAGATATAAGTAGTATATGTAATCAATCGAACGTGAAATAACTGGAGCCAGAAGGTTATGAAGATCAAAGAAAAGAGAACGAGAACAGAGGACGATTGCTGTCGAAATCAAGGAATAGTAAAGTCTGAGACGACTGATTAACATTTTGCAAATGAAATATTTAGTGTATGGTTCTCAGATTTTCCTAAGATGATCTGTAATTTTCTATCCCAATACATTCGATTTTCCCCATTTGTGTTCTCATTCACTACACCATTAGTAAGATACTATCAAATTTAGTCTCTACAGGGGACAATTAGTTAATAATGTATTATTAAAAATCAGGGCTTCAGCAATGAATATGCTGAAAATAATAACAATACAATCAAGGTAAAGTTCATTATAGTTAAAAAGATTACATTTATATCTATTGTTCTATTATAATATAAAGTGTCAGTCAATTTATTCATGAACAGTAATTTGATTGTGATAAAAATTTCTGTTAACAACGTTGTGGATTGCTTTTAATTCATCGACTTAAATTAAATAAGTAACCAAGTAATAATCAACTAGAAAAATCATTCGATTTAAATGATGATGATCAGTGAATCGGTAATCAGGATTTATATACAAACCAATATATTATACTGTAGTGAACGAGAACACAAGTAGGGACAATCGAATATATTGCAATAGAAAATTACAGTACACCTTGGTAAAATCTGAGTACCATACAATAAATACTTCATTTGTAAAGTGTCAATCGGTTGTCTCAAACTTGAATGTTTCTTTTGCAAATGTTAACCAATCATCTCAGACTTCAATGCTCTTTCGTTTCTACACCAGTCATCCTCTTTTCCTTCATATTTTTAACCTACCTCCAGACATTTCACTTTCGATTGATGATACATACTACTTATATCTGTTGACATCAGTAGTACACACCACAATACATGAAACAAAAGTAATATATATTTGTAAGTATTACTCAAAACAAACTGAAATCGGCGAGAATCTAATTTATGGACGACCTTTGAACGAATCTTAAGCGACCGTGAGAAATATTAGCCAATTAGCGAACGGTAAGTATAGAGTAAAAACATATTATACAAAACCAAGGAAATAAATTGGATACACTTCTTATACGTGGTTCAAAAACTTGCCAAAGTTAGAAAGAGGTTCAGAGGCTCTAAAATCGTAATGCATGCAGTAGAGGAAATCATCCATACGTTTACAGAATAGTCGGCCTCTGGAGTCACGATAGTCACAAATACTCTTTCAGCCTCAAACACATAGTTCCAATATTGTTTATGTGTACTTTGGCTGTTGAGTACACAAAACGCTACTTGTGGATAACGACACGATGCACATAACCAGGCCTATGTAGGAGTCTGTACGCTCTCCAAACATCCATATATATTGTAGTACCTGGCTGCACCCAGTGTTAGTGGTGCTTTTATTATCCAGTTCGCGATAGTTGTTATAATTTGCCTTAGTTAGGAATTATATATGCGGTTTTCATCCCGCACTGACATCAGCCATAATGCCAGGAGTTTATTTAACCAAAATGATGAAAGGCTTTCGTGTTCAAATCCAAGATCTATTATCTTATACCTGATTGATTCGTCTACAAATTATAGTCTCGCCGTTTTATTTGTTATAGCCGCTCAATGATCACGTTTTGTACAAAATTCCTTGTGAATCCATCGTACGTTAGCATTAAGCACTGAAGCTGGCGCCATAACCTTGAAATCCTTCAGACGCCTCTGACTAGCTAGTCCATAAATTAGAGTCTCGCCCTGAAATCTATTATTAAATTGTTAAAATTCCAAATAATATCGGATAACTGTCTTATTCAAATTCATAATTCTATAATATTGTACACTTAACAATTTGCAAAAGATTAAACATCAACACTTTTAGATTTTGCTTTGTGTCAATGACAAGAAATTCAGCTCATTCATTTCAATTAGTCATTAGAAAGTTACTAGTTTATTTTAGTTAATCTAATTCCACAACTAATAACTTTATTTATGTTAGTCATTATTGAACCATTCAAGATTACAAATCTGTATAAACAATATGCATCATAAGACAATCTTTTTGTTTTAAAAAAAGAAAAGCAGGTTAACAAAAATGTTTTTTAAATAAAGTAAGAATGAATATTAGTACCCTAGAGATAAATATTTACTGGAAATCTTTTATAGCGAACATAAGTAAAATATGAAATCAATTGTATTTTAAGATTGTATAATATATTTTTTGTTCCATTTGAAGTGAATATTCAGACAAGGTTATTTTAATGTACAATTTATTTATGAGAAAAAATATATGAAGGTAAGTATATTGATATAAATGGTATTCTGATGAGGATACGATTTTGAAATGGTTCTTGTTGAACTTAAACTTGTCATTGTTTACTTCTTTGTTTTGGTTGCATCTTCCAACATCGAGGTCTACAGGACAAGTTGTGAATCATATGTGGAGAAATTCGAACACTTCACTTCTACCTGAAGTTTGTGCTGATGATGTCGTTCAGAAGAACGATGAAAAATCCACGACCAAATCATCCAGCTCATGGAATAAAACTCCATCAAAAAGAGGATGAGATTGTTTTATACTAATATGGAAATTCACTTAATATATTTATTTTGCAGATATAATTATTGCCATGAAGTTAAATTTTATTATCAGCTGAAGAACCAGTAGAAACAAAAAATCATGGGAGAACTTCGTTGTGTTAGGCAGTCGCCAGATTATGTCATCCATACTATGTATACGCGAGCGCGATTTGAGTGGGAAAATGAAGAATAAATAGGAAGCTTTATTGGCTAACCGAAGAGAAGTATGTACATTCATTGATGAAAAGGTATGGTTCTTACATAGATGAATCTAATCTCGTCCAATGGCGTCCACCTATCAAAATCTGTTAACTATTATTTTGTTTTGAGCTGGCATGTCTGACTGACCCAGCCTAACACTACTATGTCTCTACTTGGAACTTCAAAACAGCCTACACCAAACGACCCAATGGTTCTTTCAATAAAGACATTCCGTGATAAAAAAATAACTCTAGATTGAGCAATTTCAAACAACCCTAAGCTTTGTGACTAAACTAATAATAAGGATTTTAACCTCAATTCAAGTTTTACTCTTAAATTCATATTTACAATAAATATTTGTTTGTCTAAACTAATTATTGATATTTGGACAAAATTTTCTAAATTTAAAATTACGTCCGAATCTTCGCAACTGAAAGGTCATATCTCAATAACTCCACTAAAATGGTTAGTCACTCGCGCCTCCGAATCCGAAACTTCAACCTAAACCAGTCGTAATCAGAATATTTTTAGAACTAATACACATATTAAGCCCAAATTAGTGAAAGGTCTAGTTACTTAAATCGATAACAACAATTTAATACAGAATACATGGAATATGGCTAACAGTGAAATTTAGGACGCGTGTTTCGTCCGATTTGGGACTCTTTAACTAGATTTACTTACATCTTAAAGTTGAAATTCACCTAAGGAATCGAACTCAGTGTCATTCACTTCAAACGCCAACGCATTATCCACTTAGTTATTGAGTCCAAATAGTCAATCACTTTTGCAATGGATAAGAATGCCAATGGAATGTGTTATGCTTTAAATTACCCCATTGTTGATATAATAGCCACACAAATGAAGAAGAGAAAAACCGATCAGCATTTGGAATATATATGTATATATCATATTGAAATTAGTTTTATTTTTGTACACGTTCAATAGAAGAAGATGCATAAAGAATGTGAAAGCGGAGTTAACGAAAATAAATAGCATTAATAGATCTTAGTTATGCTGAAAACAGAGAAAATCATAATAGTATTACAATATGACGTATCCACGCTTGTATAAAATATACAACATTTGCAAAAAAATAAAGAACAGAAAACTGAACAGAGAAAAGTAATAATAAAGCATCACAGATTAATATTCATTCATCAAATATGTTTAATCAAAAAACAAAACAAAACAAAAGAAAAATAAAGTTGCTAGGAAGAGAGAGAAAAAAGTTTCCATAGAAAAAACACACATTGAAACATTGAATTCAAATAAGAAAACTATGCAGTGATTTGTTTGGCATATGAAAAAGAAAGAGATAGTAAATATTTTGAGACTATTGAATAGAGAGAGAGACGGAAAAAATCTGATAATTCATATGTAGTTTTTGTTTTTAATCGAATAACAATTGCTGCTTGTTTTTCTAATAACAAAAGAGAGAAAAAACGAGAGGGGGGAAATTGTATTATTCATTAATTTGTGATTGTACTCGATGTATCAAGATTCGATGTGTATGTTGTGTCTGTTCCATTAGTATTTGAAGATGAATTGCTATCACTGATCTGATAGTTATTTGAATTATTGGAACGTGATAAAACAACTTCAGAATAAGAAGGCGGGGAATTTGTGTTGGTGGTGGTAGTAGTAGTAGTAATATTAGGTGATGATGTTATATGCACTGATTCAAGTCGTGATTGTTCGATTTCTGTTGAATTTCCTATATTTAAAGGAGTGGTTATTGACGTTGATGTATTAACACATTGTTTAGCTAGTAGATCATTAGTAGATTGAATTTCTGAATAAGCTGGTGGTGGTTGAATGATATGCTTTAAACTGGAATAAGCGGGTGGTGGAGGTGTAGTACGAAATCCATCAGAACAGAGAACATTAGGTCGTCCAAAATCTATAGAAAATAAACAATAATGCTGATAAAGGAGAAAGTTAAAGGTAGGAAAATTAGACGATACTAGCCCCAATGTATTTAATTAATTAGAAATAAAAAAGACGCCCAAATAATTCAGCGTAACGAACAGCCCATGCTACTATATAACAATATTGTTATGAGAACAAAAATGAACACAGGTTCTAACATTGAATTGTGGTCATCCAGTGTATTACGGGGCAAGTTGTATTGTCTAGTCCACTAATTCATTAATTCGCCTATATTGCCTGTATGAGGTTTGTCCGATTTATCAAATGACGCAGAGACTAATGAGCAACAATGAAGGCCTTAAAGCCTATTGGTTCTTGAGCTGCTAATCCAATGGTCCAGTCAGAAGACGAAAACAGGAAGCAGATTAGCTATCTTTTGTACTTTGTTCAACTAAGGCTTATATCTCATACAATGATATGCTTCATAAATACCTGAGCGCACGGTAAGACAAATAGAAAATCACAATTTGTACACAACTCAGTCGTAAGCGGTATTAAATCGGAATAATAGGGAAATAATTAATCATTGGCAAAAATCTGGAACAACAAGACAACACAACAACGGTTTATTGGTCGAATGAAAGATTAGAAATAGGAGAATATGATGAAAATGTAATAAACTAAGCACCTAATAATTATGCAGTAATTTCCACTACGGTATTTCTGAAAGTTCAACCGTTCACAAATCCTTTTTGATGTAATAAATATATGTTTGTGATAAATGTAACATATTTAAAACAAACAATCTGAAGACATATCTACTATTTCGACTTATTGAAAAAAATGTACATTCCAGTAACCGTACATAACTTTTTCTCTATTCGAGTTGTGAAATAAACTCAATTTACTTTCCAATCATTTACTCCTACGTCTGACTGATTGACATTTAAACAATTTTTATAGTTTGATCAGAAACAGTAATAAATAATGTTAAGTCTATAAACCAGTAGTAATGATACAGTTGCGGAAATAAGGTAAGATGGTCGGTCACTTAGTAACTGAAGCATTCGATTTCCAATTTTCAAATCCTTCCAATCTACCTGGTTTTAAATAACCGAACGGTAACACCAGCCTGAAACGGACACATATTCAAAGTGCAGTTAAAAAAACTGAGTTACATCAATAGAACGGATCCCTAGACGTTGTTTCATTATTTTGTGAAGTAAAGTTTTGGATGTTAATAGTAGATGAGCTTATCAATGATGAAACCGGGTGAGAGATGTTTTATATAACAAAACATGGCTGCAACATAGAATCAATAGCTGTTCAGTACGAAAAGTGAGCGTTAATTAACGAACTATGGCGCAAAACAGATGGTGCATTGGGTGCTTAGTGACTGAAGCACTCGGGTCTCAACCGATGAGTTCTAACCATATTTCACATACGTCGGTTAATATTATTATTAGTCTTCATAGAAAACTAGAATGATCCAAAGTTGTAATCGCAAATTCACATACGGCAAATGAGTGACACTGAGTAAAACAATGATGTCGTATACTCTCCTCACATCTGAAACTATTCACTTATCAGAAAGTAATCAATTCAAAGAGCTGTTTCTTAACACTCACTAGATCACAAATGAAACAATGTTACTATTACAAACAATCTGATATTGTTACTTCGGCATGAAGAATTATAAATGATAGTACTGAGTCATGGTGATAATGACTAACTTAAATGAAATCAAAAGTGTTTACTGAATAACGGTACCAATTCACTTGAAAGAAATACAAAGCTAAATCAATGTGATATGACATAAATTGTTACAAAATAATACTTTATTAAACAATGACTTATACGTTAGTCTTTGTTTGAATACCGACTTTCGAATATGAATAATCATCTTAAGGCATTTTTTTGAAAAATTACAAACTATGATATTAAATTGTATACTTAATATTGAAGTACTTCTATTATGGATTGATACCACTTTTGCATACTATTTTAGGCATTTTGTTACTGTTCAATATTGAAATTTATAGTTCAACAGAATAATTTGCGATAATTGAGACTGTAAACCGATCAATGTTAAATCTCTACTTAAAACCTGGAGCACTGCACGTCCATTTCATCCTGATTTGGGACTCCTTAGCAGTGCACACCTATGGTTCCACACACAGGATTCGAACGCAGAACCTTCGATCTCGAGTGAGAACGCCAAACCTCTAGACCACTGAGCCGGCGTCTAACAGTACTAATGTTTAACTTCAACCAATCCACTAGGTTAAGCGTTCGTGCACAAGACCGAAGGTCCTAGGTTCGAACCACACATATGGGATCGTGGATGCTCACTGTTGGTGAGTCCCATACCGGGACGAAACGGCCGTCCATTACTTTTAGGTTTTCAGTGGTGGTCTAACATTAATCAGTTCATGATCCCATTCACAACTCAATGCTGATAATTTGTGATAATAGTAAACGAAAAAAATGGCTTAATAGTGAAAATATCATTGTTTTACTAAATATTATATCAAATGTTTTCAGTACGAATATCGAACAAAAAAATGAAGTATAAATAGTTCTCTCTACACGTCTCTTGTAATTTATCATGTAAATATGAAATATGATTGGTTGTTGTTAGCAATTATCTTATCCCTTATCTGAGCCTATATCGTGCTTTTTCATCCCACATAATTTCAATATTTTAACCTTGTATTTGCTTATTATTTTTTTTCGTACAAACCAACAAACTTAGTCTAATTTAATGTCAATTGATTGATGAATAAATTGAGTCCAATGCTTGTAGAATAGAAAGGGAAATTATCAGAGAAGACATTGTTCTTGTATTGATTGAAATAGGAAGGGTGTATTTAGAATTGAATTAAATTGAAAGCAACACATTTTTATTGCCTCATATTAATTTAATCATTCTAGTTATTGAATGTAAAATCTTTTTAACAATTTGTAGATGTTAAAACTATCTTTAAATGGAGAAGAATTTGAAACTGTGTACATTGGTATTTACTAGATTATAAGACATACTTAAAGCATATTTTTGTTGTTGTGAACGTATTTGATTAGTTAAACTGCAAAAATAAAATAGATTAGTTTAAATAGTGTTCAGGTATCTTGTTTTTGTTTTTTCTTGTTACCGAGTTGAGAAATCTTGATTCTAAAATTTGATAATGATACATTCTTGTAAGTAAGCATTTGGGAAATAGAATTAATGTAATGTATTTCGATATATCAATCATAGTATATGTTAAATTTTAAATATAGTGAATGAGAAGTATGGTAAAAATGATTCGTAACTCTATTAGGATAGAATAATCTAAAGTTAAAGAGTTGAGAGAAAATGTATGCCAAAAAACTGCTTGTCTCGACGTACAATGTTACCTGGTTTGGGAGTAAGTTCGAAAATAGATAGGGACGACTAAACCAAGATATGACACCAAGTTCATAAAGTCATTAACTTTTAGGCTGAGCAAATTATTGGGTTAGTGTCTACGAGATTGTCATAATTAATGGTTTGAGATATTGAGTGACAGTTTAGAATGGGTTGCAATGACCCAGATCTAATCAATCTGTCTTCTTTTAGATCTCGAGTTTTAAAATTATGTAATACTTTTTGTTGTGCAATTCCACTTTTTTTCCCGAGTCATATTGTTTATGTTTAATCTTTTACGCCACTATTAATATTGATAGTAGTTATGTTACTCTAATACTTGTCTTAATAATTTCATCTGGCCAGGATGATGTGATGTGGTAACTTGAACCGAAGCATATAAGTGTCACATTTGTAAGCTATTTAATTGATTGACTAGTTGAATCAAGAACACTAAATCGTTCTACATAAGTCAAACTATAATTTACTAGTCACACACTAATATCATAGATTGATATAACGAGTATGAAGGTTGTTCTATTACATCTTTTTTCGCTACTGATAAATATTCTACATTGAACACGACTGACATTGAATTCCTAAACTTTTCCTATTCCACAGAAATATTTAACTTTGAATCCCAAAAAGAAAAAAAAACAGAATACAAGAAATATGAAAGCACTTTACTTTGAAGGTGAATTTATGTAATTTCAATGGTTGAGATCATGAGTCAAGTAAAGCTAGACCGTTTCGTCGTGTTAAGGGACTCCTCAGCAGTGTACATCCACGGCCTCGCCTCGCGGGATTCGAACCCAGGACCTACTGGACTCGCGCGCGAGCACTTAACCACTAGACCACTAAGCCGGCATCCAACGGTGTTAATGTCTAACTTCAATTAATCCACGAAATTCAGCGATACATCCACCATTGTCATCAGCGAGTTACTATCTCACAACTAACCCGGTTGAACTCCACTGATCACTGCTTCTCACTTGAAGCTAGCTTCAATTGCCTCATGATCTCAACTATTGAAATTACTAAAATCTCCACAAAACTCATTCTCATGTTAATTTATGTAATTACAGAACTGTAGGTAATTTTAGACATTCTAGAAGCATCTGAAAACGATGGTTACTACTTTATCATCACTTAAAGGTCATCCATAAATTATGGTCTTACTCACAGAAAACTTATTTTTTTTATAAGCAATTAAAGAATGCAATGCATTAAACTACTTTCTTTTATCAAGCTATTATTGTGTTGTCGGTCAAAGTCAATGTTCAATGATCCATAGAATATTTTTCATTTTATCGATTCATTATACTCATGATAATGATAATAATCTTTGTACTTACAAATATATGAAGTAATAATAATAATAGTAAATGATTATGCTAAATATATTTTGTTCAGTCATATGGTATGATTCTGATTATTCGGTTAGACTTGTTAGTTCTAGTTTTGTGACCTATATGATATACAATCAGTATACTTCACAATTAAGCAGTGATTGACACAGCATGAATGAAATTGAACTTAAGTTGTTGGTTGATTCAAATATTATATAATGAATTTAATTTATGGAATATTACATTTTGTTTGTTCAGCTATTGACCTAGTTGAAAAATTTAAGATATTCTCAATTTTACTGTTAAATCAAGAACTTGAATTTTTACTATACCGTGTACAACTTGAGTACTCGAACGCTTGAATCCTTTAAGTTGCAAGTTAGAAAATAGAAGAGAGAGGGGAAGAAATCATATTCCAACCAGTTAAATATGATACAAAACACTCGGGTATTTATAGTTTATAATAAAAACGAAATCACCATTACAATCATTCAATCTGCATGAGGTGGTTTTAGCATTTGTCCAATTGGGAAGCTATACGCCGAGATTCGGGAATGTTCTTTCAAATGATGACTGGATGGAATGTTTTTGACTCTTTTAGAGCTTCTTAGTGCTTCCTTGAGTTCACCAGGGGCCATCCTCACATTTAACATGTACAGTTTACTAATTTACTTATGTAAACTTATGTTCTGGGTCTGATTTCAGGCGAGATGAAGGTGTAAAGTCTCCTCGAACGTTTAAAGTGGTTCTTTAATGGTTAAGTTTTAGTATAATTCATTCGGAGTTAAAAATATAAGTAATACAACATTTAGGCTTATTATTTATCCAGTGAAAAGCACTCAAGACCACTGTATTCATAATCAACCTCCTCTTCAATTCCTATTATTCCTCCTACATCGACTTTCAACTCTATATTTCCTCTCTCGGCTTCCACCTCAAGTGTCACCGTAGCCAACGATTCTAGTGCGCAAAACACTGTCCCAGGTCTACTGAAACCTCGCTCCAAACTACACATTGGAGCCTTCAACGTACGCACCCTATGTCAAATCGGTCAGCAGGCTTCCTTGGCTAAAACCCTAGAGTCTCTTTCCATTGATGTATGCTGTGTCTCCGAAACACGCATACAGGATTCCAGTGTGGTCATTCACTTGACCTCACCTCGGCAAGACGGAGAGCCAACGAGATACACCCTTCGTGTGTCTGGTGACCCGATGGCAAGTTCTCGTGGACTGGCAGGTGTAGGCATAGCACTAAGCATGAGGGCCGAACAAGCACTGCTAGAGTGGATCCCCGTCAACAGTCGTCTATGTGCTGTTCGGCTGAACGGCTACGTAAGAACTCGGAAGGATAGGGACACACGTCGTTGCCTTTTTGTCGTTTCTGCCTACGCTCCCACTGACTGCAGCTCAGATGAAGTGAAAGATGAATTTTACAGAAAGCTGTCCGAACTTCTTCAGAAAGCTAAACGCTCAGACATAGTACTCGTAGCAGGTGATTTTAATGCTCAGATAGGCAGTTTAAACCAAACAGAAAGGCATTTAGGTGGATATTTTAGTATTCCGACACAGCGAACAGATAATGGTGATCGTCTGCTGCAGCTATGCTCAGACAATCGTTTATTTTTAGCAAACACAAATTTTAAGCATAAGGAGAGACATCGTCTAACATGGCGACCCCCTACACCAAACCAACGATGGACTCAAATAGACCATATTGCCATCAGTCATCGTTGGAGAGGGTCGGTAGAAGATTGTCGCTCATTCTGGAGTACCTGCTTGGACTCCGACCATGCCCTAATACGGGCACGCATCTGCTTGCGCCTCACTGGACGCAAAAAAGCCACATTAAAAAGACCCATTAGAACTGAGTTGAGTAACGAGAAAACCAAAAGTAGGTTCCAGGAACAACTGAGGTCACACTTAGGTAGTTGTGAAGACGAGGCTGACCCAGATGTTGCTTGGAAGGGCATACAATCAGCTGTGGAAACAGCAGTGACATCTATTAGTGACTTAAACCACAGAGTTACAAGGAACCAGTGGATTTCTTCAAGGTCTGTCACACTGATGGATTCTCGCAAACTCGTCCCATCAGGTTCTGAACATGATGAAGAGCGTAAACAAATCAGATCTAGGTTAAGAAAAAGTCTAAGGAACGACCGTGAGCAGTGGTGGGTAACGAAAGCAAAAGAGATGGAAAAGGCGGCGACTATAGGGAACACAAGACAGCTTTACAGACTAATAAAAGAAACTGGAATTAATAAGTCAAGTGTAAGTGAGATTATTTCGGAAAAAGATGATACTCTCATCTGCTCCCAGTCCAGACGTTTAGAACGATGGGCGGAACATTTTAGAGAACAGTTCAGCTGGCCTTCAGCTACTCTACAACTACCCTCCATTCCCAGACAATGTGAATGGAACATTGAAGTAGGTCCCCCAACTCTTGCTGAAGTTGAGAAGGCTATAGTTAATCTGAAACGAGGAAGGGCAGCTGGTCCAGATGGATTGGCTCCAGAGGTCTTTAAGGATGGTGGTCCAATTTTAGCGATTAGGTTGACTAATATTTTAGCTAAGATCTGGGAATTAGACGTTATCCCATCTGACTGGTCGCAATCACTTATCGTCCCAATATATAAGAAAGGGTCAAAATCATCCTGTGACAACCACAGAGGGATTAGTTTAACAAACATAGTATCTAAAATACTGGCCTCGATAATTATCAAACGCCTAACTAAGACTCGTGAACTACAAACACGAGAGAACCAAGCTGGCTTTAGACCTGGTCGTGGCTGCATCGACCACATATTCACCATTCGTCAGGTTCTAGAACACAGGCATACCTATCGGCGTCCGACGATGGTGGTCTTTCTTGACTTAAAAGCAGCATTTGACTCTGTAGACCGCGAGACTCTGTGGCAGTGTCTGTCATTGAAAGGCGTACCTCAGAAGTACATAAACCTTGTGAAGGCTCTTTACTCGAACACTACTAGTCGAGTCAGGGCTTATGGCGAACTGTCATCTACTTTTGCAACCTCAAGTGGTGTCCGTCAAGGCTGCCCACTTTCTCCATTTTTGTTTAACTTCATCATAGACCTATTGATGGAAATAACACTCTCGTCGACTGAATTCTCGGGTATTGATCTCCTTCCAGGAGGTCCACTTATCGACTTAGAATATGCAGATGACATAGTCCTGTTTGGTGAAGACGCTGACAAAATGCAGAGTCTTCTGGTAGCACTAAGCAACAATGCCAGAATGTTTGGGATGCGCTTCTCTCCCTCTAAATGCAAGTTGTTGCTTCAGGACTGGTCTGCGTCAACACCTGAACTAAGGATAGGGAGTGAAGTAGTCGAACGCGTTGACAACTTCACTTATCTTGGAAGTCTGATCAGCCCTAATGGGTTGGTGTCTGACGAAATCTCAGCACGGATTCGTAAAGCTCGTTTGGCTTTTGCCAACTTACGTCACCTTTGGCGGAGGCGAGATATCCGTCTATCAATAAAAGGACGAGTATACTGCGCGGCAGTCCGTTCTGTTTTAATTTACGGCAGCGAAACATGGCCCTTAAGAGTAGAAGACACCCGTAAGCTACTAGTATTTGACCACAGATGCCTTAGAAATATTGCTGGCATCTGCTGGGATCACCGGGTAAGTAATAGTGAGGTTAGACGCAGGGTATTAGGGAATGATGGTAAATCAGTTGATGAGGTTATGAATCTTCATCGACTGAGATGGTTGGGCCACGTATTACGTATGCCTGAACACCGATTACCGCGACGTGCAATGCTAACCGGTGTAGGGGATGGTTGGAAGAAAGTTAGGGGCGGCCAAACCAAAACGTGGCATCAGTGCCTGAAGTCACTAACTTCTAGTCTGAGCCATGTTGGTAGATGCAGACTACTTGGTTGGGGTCCGCGTGACTTTCGTAACCAATGGTTGGAGACCCTTGGTGACATGGCTCAGAATCGATCACAATGGCGTCGGTGTATACACTCTCTGTCTTCTCTTAAACTAAGAGATTAAGATCACTTCACATCTTTCTTTCTACGAACTAATTCTTTCTTCCTATACTATATCCTTATTGCAATCTTTCTCCTATATATTACCACCTTTGACCTAACCACTCCTATGAATCCGGTGTTCATCTTGCTGTGCTAATGAGGTATGGCAACCTGGGCCGATGCATACATGTGCCTGGTCCTACGTTGTAGCTGACTGACTGACTGAAAAGCTTGTAAGTTGATGGTAATGTGTAAGAAAGTTATATGCCGGGAGCACAAGAAGGTCAGCATTAGTTATGGAATCATAACATAAAACGAAACATTTGTCTAGTGGTTTTTCAGTTATGAATTCTAGTGAGGGTAATAGAGTTCAACCGTGTTGAACACTAATTAGTTAACCATCAATGACTAATGTGGTCAGAAAATGGTAGTGAAATATGTCGAATCGATTGAATTTAGAAATGTGAACCATTGTGTGAAGATTAACTGATCTAAAGGCTAACGAGGATGGAGCGAATCTCCAGTATTTCCTACTTTTCAATGGTTATTTCTTGAAAATCAATTCATGATGTAAACTATAAAAGAGTAAATCTAACCTAGTTCTTTGTCAATAAAGTAAGATTGATGCAAGAAAAAAAATAATTACGATTCTAACAAAAAACAAAGTATTACATAAGACAATGAAAATAATCAAGTGAATATAACATACATGAAGAAAGATTACACCAATTTGAATTTGACATATTATTCGTACTTTCTATACCATGTATACTATTTGAACGATATGGTCTTGTTTCCCATATATTAAATGGTGAAGAAAATCCACCAGTTCGAATACGTCCAGAACGTGATGAACGTGTATGATGATAATGATGTCTATTTGTTGTTGTATAAGTAAGATCAGATAATGAACAATATGGACGTGTATTCAAATTATTACGACGTAAATATGCTCTACGACCAACTAAACTTAACCATGTTAATAGACAAAAACATGCTAAAAGCATAGCTGGTATTTTAAACCATGAATAAGCAGTTTTACACGGTCGACATAAACATGGATCAAGAAAATATTCACTAAAATACCAAAAGCCAAAAGAAAAGAAACGAAAAGAAATCGATTAATAATAATTTATGTAGTAAACATTGTGTAATCATGATCATGATATTAACAGGATACTTAGAAATAAAAAAAACTCCGTTCTTTTTACTAGTTTCATTGCCTCAACGTTAAATGTGAGGAGGGCTCCTGGTGAACTTAAGGAGACACAAAGAAGCTCTGAAAGACTCAAAAACATTCCATCCAGTCATTGTTTGAAAGAACATTCCCGAATACTCAGAAATAATAAAAAAATCCGTTCTTTTTACTAGTTTCATTATCTGAATGTAATAGTTTATTTGTGAAGTTTTCGCTAGTCTTTTAAATGACAACAACAGATGTTGAGATTTTGGATAGAAGAAATAAAAAGACCAGAGAATTTTTGAAAGCTTGCGACTCAGATCAGTTAGCAAGTAACAAAAAAAAACCATCAAAACCGATTACATTTATTAACTAATTCGAAAAATCATGGATAAATATAATATAAAGAACCAAATCATAAAATATATTTGAAGGTATTTCATTGAAATCATAAACCAGTCAGTTAGTACCAACGTAGAACTTCGTACGTACGTACATCAGTTCAAGTTGCCATATCACATAAGCACAGAGATGCAGTTGTCGATTCAAATCCCGTACTGGTAGAGGTAGTAAAAGTATAAGCAGTAATCGAGAAGATTAGGGTTGAAGATGTTATTCAAGGAATATAATCCAGTGAAATAAATTTGGGAAGAGAAAAAAGAGACAACGAGGAATCAGGAGATTAGAATTCGGAAGAACACAAAGAGTGGAGGCACCTGCACCATTGCAAACGATTTTGAGCCATGTCATTCAGGGTCTCTAACCATCGGTTGCTATCATCTCGCGGTTCCCAACCAGGTAGTCTACACCTACCAATATGACTCAGTCTACTTGTCAGTGACTTCATGGATTTGTGCCATGTTTTGGTCTGGCCGCCCCTACCTTTTTTCCAATCTACTCCTGTACAACAAAACATCGCACATCGGTCAGTCGGTGGTTGGGCATACGTAATATATGTTCCAGTCATCTCAACTGATGAAGCTTCACTACGTCATCAATTGATTTGCCATCCTTACCTAGTACCCGTTTCCTAACAACTGCATTACTTACTCGATGGTCCCACGATATACGAGCAATATTTCGAAGACACCTATGATCAAATAGTAGTAACCTACGAATATCCTCTACTCTTGTCGGCCATGTTTCACTGTCATAAAGTAGGACAGAACGAACTGCTGCACAGTAAACACGTCCTTTGGTTGACAGACGGATATCTCGCCTACGCCATAAATGACGCAAGTTGGTAAAAGCTAGTCGAGCCTTCTGTATCCGTGCTGAGATTTCGTCACACACCAGACCATAAGGGCTGATGAGAATTCCAAGAATTCCAAGTGAAGCGGTCGACACGCCCAACTACCTCACTCCCTATCATTAGTTCGGGTGTCAACGCAACCAAATCCTGAAGCAACATTTTGCATTTCGAGGGGGAGAATCGCATCCCGAACATGCCTGCATTGTTGCTTAGAGTGGTCAGAAGACTCTGCATTTTGTCAGCGTCTTCACCAAATAAAACTATGTCATCAGCATATTCTAAGTCAACAAGTGAACCTCCCGGTAGAAGTTCAACCCCTGGAAATTTAGATGAGGAGAGTGTTATCTCTAAAAGTTCGTCGATCACAAAGTTGAACAAGAATGTAGAGAGCGGACAGCCCTGACGAACACCACTTGAGGTAATCAATTCTGATGACAGTTCACCATAAGCTCTCACTCTACCAGTTGTGTTCGAGTAGAGAGCCTTTACAAGGTTAATGTACTTCTTTGGTACTCCTTTCAGTGACAAACACTGCCATAGAACCTCACGATCAACAGAGTCGAATGCCGCCTTAAGGTCGAGAAATACTACCATTGTGGGGCGTCTGAATGTGTGTCTGTGTTCTAGAACCTGACGTAGTGTGAATATCTGATCTATACAACCACGTCCAGGTCGAAAACCGGCCTGATTTTCTCTAGCCTGCTCTTCACGAGCTTTGATTAGGCGTCGAAGTATTATTGAAGCTAATATTTTAGACACTATATTAGTCAAACTGATTCCTCTGTGATTGTCACAAGAGGACTTTTGTCCTTTCTTATAGACCGGCACAATCAGTTGTATAGCTGCGACAGACGGTCGCCATTATCTGTTCTTTGAGCCACTACACCATAAGATCCACCTAGGTGTTAGCTTCGTTCTTCAAAGGGCCTTACCGCCAGAGACGGAAATCCGTGAGGTAAGGTGAGGTGTGACACTTTTAGGGTCGACCTTTCCTATCCCCACCACTCCTTGTGAGAAGGCAGCATCGCTATAGATGTTGGTTGTCTGAGGGAAACACGTTACTGCTGTCACACCCCTCTACAGTCAGTAGTACGACTTCGCCCTCAGACTTTGAGTTGCTGCTTTTAGTCTTACCGTTCTACGATCAACCTGGCTGGCATGGTAGAACCTACAGGAACATATGTTCCAGCCAATATAGCTCGGTTGGGTCATCACGATAGGCAAGCCCGACCACCGCGTCTAGCTAGCAGCTAAGGTCAGGAAATCATAAACCGATCAATATTAGAGCACCATTAAAAACCTGGAATCACTGGACAGCCGTTCCGAACTGATATGGGACTCCTTAGCAGTGCGCATCCACGACCCCTTTCGATAGAGACTCGGACCTTCGATCTCGTGCATGAACTACTAACCCTGAGTTAATTCTGACATACTGGAAACTATAGTATTGTAGACTGAATGAAGAGTCCTTATCAAACAGACAGAAGGCGGAAGTTGGTTTAAATATATACCTTAGTTTTTAATTTACATTTCGCAACAAAACAATTCGACTAATCACACTATATAAAAATCATTATAGTCTATGAAGATTAAGAGTTTGTGATCTGTCTGTGTACCATGTATATTTTTTCTTTAAATAACAGCATTATATTCTTGCTATCGTATTGAGTACATTATACCTTTATACTTAAGATCGTTGACCTTTATTAGAGCATCGGAATTTTAATCAATACATTACAAGTTTGAACCCGATTGTATCTATTTCGATTTAAGCAGTAGAATATAAGCAACTCAGAACCTACCATACAAGTGCATCAGATCAAATTTTCACACCGCTTAGCACTGCGAGATGAAATTATCGGGACCAGAGTGGTAAAAGCAGTGACAATATAAGTAGTAGTAGAAGCGGTTAGTCATAAACAATATAATTTGAAAAGAGTGGATTCACAGAATAAAAATTAGGAACAACTCCAAAGTTCAAAAGTTAAGGGGAGACAGACAGTAAATAGATCTGCACTATTGTAACCGATTTTGAGCCATGCCGATTAACGTTCCCAAAAATTGATTAAGATAATTGCATAAACTTTAACCAGGCAGTCAGAGCCTTCATATATGATATAGTTCAACAATAAACAACTTTATAGACTGATGCTACATTCTGACTTGGCTGTCTCTAGTTTTCTTCCAACTTACTCCTACAGTAGCCCACACTGTAGGATGAGGTGTTAGGCGGTGGTTGGATGGTATTTATGTAACACTTTTAATAGTATTCATGATCACTTTATTCACTTAAGTTTGAGTAGTCAATTAACAATCATAAGCGTAGCTGAAATTCGAGTACATAAACCTGTATTTGATAAATGGGTTCAATTTTTACAAATCACAGATCTCGTAAACTCTGTGATCTATCATTATCAATATCACGTATAAAGCAGCTTGTTTCAGTTATATGTAGCCAAAAACCAAACTTCACTATTACACAAATAACTAGAAATTGAAAAACCAAGCAATAAGCTACAAACAATGTACCGAACACTACAAGATTGACATTATTTTGATCGTTCTGGTTAAAAAAAGTCAACACATTTTTTAAACATTTCGACGCAACCAAGAAAAATTCCATGCTACAATAAATACTATATATATCGACAGCCGATATTTAGATCAATTCATCCTGAATATTCTGTGCTTGATAATTTATTTTAAAGCGAAAATAGAAACTAAATAAATAAATAGATATTAGGTACTACTATGTATGTTATTCGAGCATTCCATCTAGTAAATATTTTACAATGCATGAGTATGAAGAGTAAGATTTTGATAGATGAATCTAATTGTTTTTCTATTCATACACATCATAAATACACGTGAAGCCTTCACAAATTCAGCGCTATTACGGGTAAATGAAAAGGTATAATACTAATATACAGGTATTTAATGTAAAGTTTGGCATATAATGTGCATTGATCCAAGTTACCGTATCGTATCAACACAGTGAGATATCAGAGTACGACAAGAAGTAATGGTATTCGTGATAGTAGAAAAAATTAGGCATAGATGATAGGATTCGAAGAAAAAATATGAATTTGTTGAATAAAAAAATCGAAGCTTACTATGAAATTTAGAAGTTAGGGAAAGATAAAGAATGAATGTACATACATCATTGTGAATGATCCTAAGCCATGTTACCCGTAATCTCTAATCGCGTAAACGTCGGCCAAGGAATCTCTACCTATTTATACAACTTAGTCCAATAGTTAACTCCATGGTCTGATCTTACGTTTTGATTTGGATGTTACAACTCATAAGTTACTAGTAGACTGGGCAATGAAGATGTAAATGGAGTGGACACTGCGACAGGTAACAGGAATGAGGGTACTAGAAACGAATGAAGGATAACTAGATAAATAGAAAGACACACCAACGCACTAGTCCGAATAAACATGTACTAACTCAAACCGTCACCTTTTTACTAATAGCATATAAATAATATAATGAATTATAGAAAGACAGTAAGATAACAATTAACAATGTGAAAATATAAGAAACGATAAAATATTAAATGTATTGTTAGTATAAAGTTGTTGAGATTGTTAAATTTCATTGAAACCACGAAACAATCTAAGTTCGATAATCATTGAAAATCTGGAAGCACCGGACGGCCGTTACGTCCTAATATGGACCGTAGAGTTCTACAGAGTTGGGTGTGAAGAGAGTACCCACAGAAGACAATGACAGATAGCTGTGTAATATCGTTGATTGATTGGAATTAAAGACTAACAACATTTCATGCTGACCCAGTTGTCCAGAGGTTAAGCGATTGTGCTCGAAACCGAAGGTCATGAGGTCGATTCCCAGGCGCGATGTTACAGATGCGCACTGCCGATGAGTCCCATGCTAAGAGGAAACGGCTGTCCAGTGCTCCCAAGTTTTCAATGATAATTCAACTTAGATGTGCTCGTAATTTAAATGATATTCAAGATATATTGGGTTTAAAGTGAATATGAGGTGGGATGTTTATATAAGATCAAGTGTTTTGCATATAATGTGACACGCTTTATTTTTGTATTTTAATGCAATAACATTCCCACATTAATTTACTGTATTTATCACGGTTTAAATGCACTCACACACAGTCGTGGTGACTAGAATAAGTTTGATTACATCTGGGATTTCTGTTGTGTTAAATACGTACAATATTGTTAATTATTACATTATATAACTACCCTCTGTGATCGACTTTATGTTATCATTAGTGATTTCAAATTAACCGATTTCTGCAGTTTAAAAATCCCCATAGAATATTAAAATATGAACAATATTTAAGCGAACAATTATTTTCAATAACTTCATCCTCAGGCTCTATAGTTATAAGTCCATAATGATTGTGATATTTTTACAAAGGCCAAAAATAAGGCATGTATTAATGAATTTAACAATGTTATGTGTTAAAATAAATGGTGAACGTTTGCATCTGTTACAATAAATATACTTCAAAATTGTGTTATTTGCAAATTAGATAGGTCATTTAATGAAGTTCAGAATGATTTGGAGTAAAGTATTCAATCACAATCAGTATAGCAGTAATAGAGCAAAAATGAAAATGAATGAAAATCGTGTGAATAGAATACATAATAGGAGAATTTCATCTTGTCACTTGAGATAATAATAATAATAATGTTGTGTGAATGTAATATGTAACAAGAGGGATGTTATCAAGGTAATTACGATAATTAAAAAAAATTCATGTGAATTAGGAATGATGGATGTAAAGATCAAAATAGATGCAATCAAAAAAAGAGGGGGTAAGATGTTTATAATATTCAGTTTAGGTATCCGGTAATCCATTCGTAGAGGCTGAATATACTTTTTCTGAATACATAAGTTTGGTTTTCTGGAGGATGATCCAGATGCCTTCGGCTATGTAGAGATGCCGTAATCTAGCTGCCCGTCTCTTTTTTCTATTATGTCTATTTTAATCTTCACATCCATCATTCCCGATTCGTTTATCGTAATTACCTTGATAACACCCCCTTTATTACATATTATATTCACACAACAATCTTATTATTATTATCTCAATTGACAAGATTAAATACTCCTACTATGTATTTATTCACACAATTTTTTTGCATTTTCATTTTTGCTATAATACTATTCTACTTATTGTGACTGAACACTTTACTCTAAATCATCCTGAACTTCATTAAATGACCTATCTAATTTGCAAAAAACACAATTTTAAAGTGTATTTATTGTAACAGATGCAAACGTTCACCATTCATTATAACATATAACATTATCAAATTCATTAATACATGCCTTATTTTTGGCCTATGTAAAAATATCACAATCATTATGGGCTGATAATCGATTTCTATCATTTCGAGGATCTGAATCGAAACATTTGCATCTCTATAAATTTAAAACTATTTAACGAAATAAGGTTTATTGAAAGATAAAACAATTACTGAAAAGAGGATTCTGAGAAACGAATACTTGGGGAAAAGATTCATTAAATATGATATAGAATACATTATCCAGAGAATTCTACATCTCAGATTGTTAGCGAAAAAGAAAGAAGTTTCTACTGCTCCACTTCAGCTTCAGATATTTTTGCATACAACGAAAACGGGAGCGTAGTAAACAGTCATAAGCTATAGTAAAAACTAACTACCATGAAAGAGCTTTTTTTTTCTTTACCGATCCACTTATCATTTATTTAATTTTCTATGGACTGTACCATCTAATTAAGTAATCACTAGTTTACAACATAAGTAATATGATTTACGACTTCAAAACACTCATATCTTACGTGTAGTAATATTGTTAAGTAGACTACGATTGATGAGAAGGCTTGTTATGGGAATAACAATTCATTTTCTTAAATGGATATTATTTCTCTTTTAATTCAATTTGGAATGACTTGGATTATCCCGTTGTTGATAATTTTTTATACTAAAATTCAATCAGCTGTGGTTGGCATATAAGCACCTTGTGCGGAATGGCCTGATATAACTCCATTAAGATACAAGTTGATATAAAATAGACGAAATGTGACTAACATTGGGAATCCAGAACGTATGTTTCATCTAATTTGGGACTCGTCAATTGAATTTATTTGCATTCCAGGGCTGATATTTTTTCTGGAATTCGAAACCAGTACCGTTCATTTCAAACACCAACAAATTATCTACTTAGCGCATCCTAGTTTCCAATACCAACCATATTTCATTTATTCTATATCAAACTATAGCTTTTTATTGTACTTCAAAAATTATCAAAAGAGTCAGATAAATGAAATACATTTAATTGAATAAAATTACATATAAACATATAAATGAAATATAATACCGTAGAATAAATGCTGTTTGACGAATATTTGTAATGATTTCTTTATTAGCATCAAAACGACCAATTAAACGACGTGTACATTCTGAGTTTAAAGCTCGTGCTACTAATGAACCATATGAAATATGAAGCTAAATGAAATAGAAAACAAAACAAAATCTTTATAAGAAAATAGAATAAAATCATCATTTGATTATATTAAAATTACTGACATGTGATATATATTCTGATAGATAAATTGTTCATTGAATCAATTTGAATAGAATATGTATTTTGTTGTATTCGAGGATTGTAATTTATTTTTTTTTCTTCTTAAGCGGGATATTCTTCTTACGCCTGTTACTCCTAATGGAGCATAGGCCGCCGACCAGCATTCTCCAACTCATTCTGTCCTGGGCCTTCTTTTCTAGTTCCATCCAATTCTTGTGGAATATACCTAGATATTAATTTTTTTATATTGAAAGTAACATAAATCCATTCAACTCTATTAGTACGTTATTCCTTAGAATAATGGATCATAACAATCATCAAATTACTTATTGAAAATAAATAAATGATAGAATAAGCACACTCATTATCAAATCTGGTTGATCATAGTTTTATTATTTCCTAAATTTCAATTACGTATTCTAATTGCTCTATTGACATTTCCTAGATATACAGTGATAGAACTTTGGCTAAGAAAGAAAATAGTTTCAGATTATCACTTTTCATGTTAACTGAATGTTAGTCTATAATCCAAGAAGATCATACAAAAACATAGTATGAGTGATAGCTTTTGGTTAGTAGCCATAACTGTATAAGGAAGTATACACTGTTTTATGAAACTTTACAAGATGTTCACAAAAAGAACTCAGCAGTATAATTCAAGATAACATGTTTATTATCAAAATTAATGACTTGAATGCAAATAATAAACAGTGTATCTTGTAAATAAAGGGTAATGCCTTTAAATTATGATGTTAATGAAGATATCTTAAACATGATATATATCGCAATTGTCTACAGATTGAACAAGTTAATTCTAAATGAACTAGTAACAAATCATAAGTTATAATGATATATATATAAGTTTAATTAATAAGAAAAGTTCTATAACTCATTACAATTTTGATGTGAATAGAGAAATAAAGAGGTTATAACAAACAACGGAAGCTATTTTTGAGGACATTGATTCACTTAATTCAAAGTTTGCGAACTATTAACATTTATTTTTACCTTTGGGCTATTCTGTAAACCATAAACTTTTGTCTAATGCATAATTGACTGAGATATCTTGTTCTCTTCCAAAATTATTGTAATTTAAATGTAACCTTTTGTGATCTAATTGTCTACTGTAATGCCTAGTTTCGACATAATTGTATCTTTCCAATTTTCAGTTTGTGATTGTGGAGATTGTTGAATTTCATCGAAATCACAAACCGATCAATGTTAGACCACCAATGAAAATATGAAAGCACTGTACGGCCGTTTTATCCTGTTATGGGATTTCCCAGCAGTGTGCATCTGAGACCCCACAATCGGGAATTGAAACCAAGACCTTCGGTCTCGAACACGAACACTTGACCTCTGAATGACTGAGCCGGCACCCAATGGTGTTAATGTCTCACTTCAACCAATTCATGATGTCGCGCGTCCAGTGCTTCCTGGTATTCAATAGTGGTCTAATACTGATCGGTTTATGGTTTCAATGAAATCCTTCTAATTGTTTGTGAGTTGCGGTTGTGTTATATATTTTTCACATATCTGAATGAGGAATAAATCAAATAATATTCCAGTTGACTCGTCTTCTCTTTTGTCTGTCGACCAATAAGGTGACAGAGCAGTTTCATCTCTCTTCCCAAGACCGTCAGTCTCAATTCCGATTCACGCATTTCTAATCTCAAGGTTGAGCCACTTAGCCTATCTTGTCAAGGCCTCTACCTAGATCGAGACAATTTCTCTTTTGTATATTACTGGGTAAACGGATCAAAGATGTAGCAAGTTCATATAGTTATAACCAAGATTTATATAAGGATAAAAAAATCACCTAACCAGAACAATACGCATCATACTAGTGTGCTATATTATTTTTCTTAAAAATAACATTCAAAAGGTTGTATAGAATCGTGTACTTGTCTTCGGGTAACGCTTAAATTGTGAGAGGTTGTCGTAATATTACTACAAGAACTACTAATCAGTTGCCTGAACTGAAATAAGAAGAAAAGGTAATGAACTTATGAGGTTTTGGTTAAAATTCGAAAAACTTGACCAGTGGGCAAACACACAGCATACAAAAAAGCTATCAACGATTTAATCAAGTACGATCTACATTCTGACACTAACAATCTCAGCATGATCAGAAAGAGAGAAAGGGAGTAAACTAACGATATGAAAGACAAGGAAATGGAAACTGTAATCATTATTACCATAATGGTAAAATAAATAATCAGAATATATTTCACAGGTTGAAATCATGAGTCAGTTGAAGCTAGACCACCATTGAAAACCTGGAAGAACTGGACAGCCGTTTCGTCCTAGTATGGGACTCCAGCAGTGCGCATCCACGAACCCGCCCCCCGCGGGATTCGAACCCAGGACCTGCTGGCTCCGCGCGCGAGCACTTAACCATTAGACCACTGAGCCGGATGCGCACTGCTGAGGAGTCCCATACTAGGACGAAACGGCCGTCTAGTGCTTCCAGGTTTTCAATGGTGGTCTAGCTTCAACTGACTCATGATTTTAACCTGTGAAATTTACTAAAATCTCCACAAAACTCATTCTGATAATCAGAATATAGTTTGAAAAAGAAAATGAATACAGTAAAATTAGATGGAGATGACAAATGAATGGGGCAACACCACATCTAACCTCTACAGCTGTTTAAATATATATATATATATATATATATATATATATATATATATGCCAATAATAACAATAATAATAATGATCAACAGCGATTTATGCATATTGTCAAACTGTTTATATTCAAAACAGGATTGATCAAAGAGAATAAAATGGAGCGCGTGAAACATTTGAGTGAAATGAAATAAATACACATTATTATTTTTCATCATATTAAGGAATTTTTTGTAAAAAAAAAAAACTGTTATCGGTTGAATAACCAATAAAAAATATGGAGCAGTGAACTGATGGTTCATTCTAATCTAGAACTAAATCTTCAAAAATGAACACTAAAGACTAATCCAGGTGTCGAGTTCCGGATATGTAGATTTCACAATGAGCACAATATCTTGAAAGCATTAAGTTGGAATTTGATCGTCCACAATTTAAAATTCAGACAATATATGATAATGTGATAATCATTTAATGTTATCAATGAATTTCTACATAACTATAGGTTATATAGAGACCATATGTAACACATATCTGGAAACCTGTCGCGGAGGTACAGATGTATTCATTCTGTGTCTTCGTCTATATAATAAAATTTCAGATTATTTCATAATTCGTATTTTATCGTCCTATACATTCTATTTGAAATATGTTTTGAATGTCAGAATTTTAACTACCACACATAGTAATATATTTACTTACACCTGTTACCCTTTGTGGAAGTGTATACGCTGCCCACCAACATTTTCCGTCCAAATCTGTCCTGAGCAATTCTTCCCAGTTGTCATTTATCCTTTCCATGTCTGCTTCCAATTCTCGACGCAGTATGTTCTTTGGCCTTCCTCTTTTCCGTTTCCCTTCAAGATTCCAAGTTAAGACTTGCCTCAGGATGCAGTTTGACGATTTCTCCAATGTACGACCCATCCACCTCCAGTGTCTTTTCCTAATCTCCTCTTCAACTGGAAGCTGGTTCGTTTTCTCCCACAGTAGGTCGTTGCTGATATCACCGGTCGATGGACATTCACTATACCGCATAGAAAACTGTTTAGAAATAATTGTGCGTTTTTGATGATGGTTGTGATGGTCTGCAAGTTTCAACTTCATACAGGAGAACTGTCTTGATGTTCGTATTGAAGATTCTCACTTTGATATTGGTTGACAGTTATTTTGAGTTCCATATGTTCTTCAACTGTAGAAATGCTGCTCTTACTTTGCTGATCCGTGCCTTTACATCTGCACCGGATCCTCCTTTTCTATCGATGATGCTGACCGGGTACGTAAAACTGTCTACCTCTTTCAGAAATTCTTCACCAAGTGTGATTTGGTTAGTGCTTGTTATGTTGTATTTGAAAATTGGGTTTTTCCGTTGTCTGTTTAGGCCTATTGATGCAGAGGCTTCTGCTGAACTGGTTGTGTTGACCAATTAATTTGTTGTCACTGTGATGGTATGTGGCTATTCGGAATGTGGGATATTTGCACCAAGTCCAACAGTTTTTAATGACTCATTGTTTTTTTTAAAAATTGAATGCAAAATAAGTAGTAAATGGATTTACATAACTGTAATCTCAATAATGAATCACCTAATCAAAAGTTTATATCAACAGATGATGTTTATTTAAGTAGACTTCTTTTATCTTCTTACAAGGTGTCAAGCAAAGAAGAAGCATAGACTACTGACACCATTATTTAGGTTTATCACTTCTAACTAATACCCCTATTATTTAAAATAATTGACTTACTACACTACTTATTATCTAATAGTGAAAACGTGGCTTAATGGCTAAGGCACTTGACTTTCAGCCAATAAGTCCAAGTATTGAACCCGCCCTACCTACTTCGATTTGAGGGACTTGGTGCTACCACTAGCCCTCACACTTGCAGTGTGGCTCATATCCGTGTACCTAGAGAATGAGTTCATATGATTTTAATTTAATATTATCTCGTGAATTTAGTCATCAGTAGTGTAACCAGAAAAGAACAAAGAATATGGTCCGAAATGTCTAACTTTTAGTGAGTAAGCGGTTATAAGAAATTATTATTATCATACCATTTTTTAAGTCAACTGATAACGCTTAAGTTACAGAATACAACTCACAACACTGCAGACACATACGATATAGAGCGGTAGGTTAATGGTCAAATCAATGAGCTTTCAACTAATAGATCACAGATGCGAAGGCTGTTCCCCTTACATTGGTTCCCCACAATCAAATAATGTCACAACTGGTGTACTTCAGGGTCGAGTACATAAATGTTTATTTGATAAATGACCTACTCGAGTTATATAAGGAAA